GGGTGTCCCAAAAATGTCTCGCAATCCGAAAGTGGCGGGTTCCTCGGGTCATTCGAAGCAACTTTTTCCTTTACAAAAATTTTCTTCGAGGCACCGTTAACGAGTTATTAACGGAAAACAGTGACCAACGAGAGGCGAGCTCTGCTGGCGCGAGGCGACCGAGCCAATGAGCGGAACCGGGCTTCGTGCGCTGGTTGGCTGGGCCGCCTCGCGTCGGCCGTACTCGATTCTTATTGGTCACTGTTTTTCGTTAATAACTCGTTAACGGTGCCTCGGAGAACATTTTTGTAAAGGAAGAAGTTGTTTCAAATGAACCGAGGAATCCGCCATTTCCGGATTGCGAGACATTTTTGGGACACCCTGTACATATTGTTCGACAATAGTTGTCACAAAACATATTTTCGTGTTTCGATTGTACGAGTTCTTTTCACGTTCGCGCCCCTCGGAAAACGCGTCCGTCTCTGAAAAGAGCAGCAGCGGCAGAGATTACGAGGTGTTAATAAACGGAAAATAAAGTGCGCGAGAGAAAAGCGAGCAAACGTTTACAATGATCGCGCCGCGGTTTATTGTCTGGCGAGTGATGTTCGCGGAATAAAAGGAAAGAGCTCTGTGCCTGGGGAACGTGTGCGACGGCGTTGGTTTTTGAACAGAGACGCGAGCTCGTTTTTTTTTCTTCTTCCGACGGCATCGCTTGTCCCGTGCGGAAAGGCATGCGATGGTAAACGCAGTCAAATATCATTTGCAAAACATATTACGTTCGCATTAAAATGAAGCCGCGGCAGCGCTAAGGTAACCGATGCATTTTTGTAATTCAAATAGCGCTGCGCGAATGCAGCTACTATACAGTGGGTCCCCTATATGTATACATATGTATGTATATATGTATGTATGTGTCTCGATTCTCTAGATGCAGCACGGTCCATTCAGAACACGCGATTCGTAAGGAAAAAGAAAAACGCGCGCTCGTATTTTCGCAGCTGTCGATAAATTAAGTATTATTATTATTAAATATATTATTATATTATTATTATTAAATTAAGTAGTCAATATTACGCTTTTAGCGTAGAAGTTACGAAACTGGGAAACGTTTGACGAGGGTGGAATGATTAGACGAAACAGAATGGAATAAAATGCAATTAATTAGACTCAAACAAGATACAATAAAATAGAATAGAATGGAATGAAATACAATGAATTAGACTCAAGCAAAATACAGTAAATTAGACTCAAACAAAATACAATGAAATAGAATAGAATGGCATAAGATACAATAAATTAGACTCAAGCAAAATATAACAAAAATAAACTAGAATAGAATAAAATACAATAAATTAAACTCAAGCAATACACAATAAAATAAAATAGACTAGAATAAAATACAATAAACTAAACTCGAACAAAATGCAATCGAATCGAAAACAAGAAAAATAAAACGACCCTTAAAAAAAGAAGATGTTCCTAGTAAACAATAAGCCAAACGTCAAACCGACCACCAGCCAATAAATCATACACCTTACACATTTCCTAAAAAGAAACAGCCTTTCCCCCGTTTCTCCAATGAAAACCACGACAACGCGTCGACGACCATCAGCGTCGAACGACCCGATTCCCGGCGCGCTCCGTGAGCGTCGCGCGAGGCGCGTGCACGAAAATTCATGTCCTTATCGCGCGGGCTTCCTCGTCCACCTTACACGAGGGAACCGCCTAAAACTGTGTGTTGTTATCATGTTGCGCGGTCCGCGCTCGGATAGCATTGGCGGCCGAGGGGAGCGGCGATTGGTCGGCCCGGCGGGAGGGGAAGCGGTGATTGTGGCCGGTAGTGGGGCGGAGCACCGCCGGCAGTTCGTATTCGGCTGTCGTGCGTGCCGCGTCTTGCCGGCCTCCGAGCTGAAGCCCTCGGCTCTCTTACACCTCCCGTCGATCCCCGCGATCCACGAGCGTTCCACACACACACACGAAAGTATCTTACTCGGGATCGCTTTAGCCGCGCACTACTGCACCGTCATCGATCGCGCCGCCGGGCGAAACGGAGTTCGCGCCGTTCGCGAGTGATTGCGCGGGATGTTCGCGAAGAAATACGCGGCGCTCGGTGCGAGGCCCGCGCGGCGGCAGTGCGTCTTCCAGTGTCTTACACGGCGCTTCGTGTCGCTCGAATAGAGAACGCGTTCGGACACCGCGCGTCGGCGGCGGCCCAGGAGAGTTTTTGAAGACGGCGAAGAAGGTGGCACGGTTCCAGCCGGAACGCGTCGGCCACGGAATGCATAGCCGCCTCTTCTGCGCTGTAAGAGGCATTCGGGACAGTGTGTCAAGGCCGAGGATCCCTCGCCGCGGCGTTGCGATTCGGCCCGGACTTGCTTCTCCCGCGATCTAACGGAACGGCGGCCTTGGGGAGGGTCCGCCGCCCCTGGATTTAACCCCTCGCGAACCCCGAGAGCGCTCGCTTTGATCCGCGACGCCCCGGATCGATACCGGCGCGTCGGCGGCGTGCGTCGTCCTGTGCGTTGTTGTCCCTTTCATGTGTTTCCGGCTGCGGCGGCACCGAGCGGCGATCTAGAGCACGGTGTCAAGGTCGGGATTCCGGCGAGCGTGCACAAGCGAGCAAGCAGTCCGTTGCGGCGGAGGACGCCGGCTGGAAGGGAGAAGAAGACGATCGTCGGCCGCGCGCGCCAGGAAACGGGAGGATCCGTTGCCGCGCGGCGATCGAGCTGCACCCTCGATCGGACCTGATTTCCGAGGGAGGAGAAAGGGTGGTAGTCTCGAGTGTTCCTCGCCGCGGCGGGAGAGCGCGGGGTGGCTCGTTTAATCCGGCATCGGACGGAGGATATCTGACGGGACAATAATCGGCAGACCGCGGCGTCATCGTCGAGAAACCGAGCCGCCGTTTTATTCGTCTTACTTTGCGCTTCGCCTCTTCCCCCCTCCTCCACCGCCTCCTCCTCCTCTACCGCCGCCGCCGCCTCCCTCGCGCCCCTCTCCGCCATCCGCCGCGCCGCTCCGCGCCGTGCCCCCTCTCCCTCCTGCTCCGCCGCGGAGCCGCCGCGGTCCCGGTTTTTGCCGAATGTTTGCTCGCGTCGCTCGCCGGCGCGGAGATAGAGAGAGCTTTTTATCATCCGTGCCGCGGAGAAACGGAGCAGCGATCGAACGAGCGAGATTAACCGGGCGACCTGGCTAATTTTAATTCGCGCAACAAACAAGCAGCGGCGAGAGGCTGTCGCGCGATAACGGGGAGAGAGCCGGCGGACAACACCGCGCCGCTCGCCGAGCGTCGCCCGTTCTCCAATATGGCGAACGACGCCGAGGAGGAGCCTCGTTCCTCGAGCGTTTCCGCGACGATTTGAACGACGCCGCGAAACAGTGAAATCATCGTCGGCGCCGCGGGTTCCCGCGCCGCGCTTCTTCTTCTTCTTCTTCTTCCGATCGTCGCCGCGGACTGAGAGGAGATCGCGCGTTCGGCCCGCGTTACGGACCACGTGTGTTGTTGGTGAGTTCGGTGCGACGGAATTTCACGGATCCACGGCGTAATGAGCGGCGACCATGCTCGTCCGTCGTTCACCCGGCTGCTTTTCGAACATCCGGAACTGAAGGTTCGGCGCCGGTTCGCGGACCATTGACACGGATTTTGTGGTGACACGGTGTGATCATCGAGTTGTTTTTCTTGTTATCGTCGTCGTCGTCGTCGTTATTATTATTGTTGTTGTTGTTGTTGCTGTTCTTGTTGTTCTTGTTGTTGTTCGTGTTGACCGTGTTGATGTTGTCGGCGGAAACGACTGGAAAATGTGGATGAAACAGCCGGAACAAGTGTACCTGCCGCCCCAGCATCCGCAACAGCAGACGATGCACCCGGGGATGGCCGGAGCGGACGAAAGGTCGCATCAGCATCATCATCATCACCATACACATCATCATCGAACCGCCGCCATGGATCTGCCGGTTCCAAGGTCAGAGTCGTTGCTCTATTAACGGGAGACGTAGGGCCCTGCTGGCCGATCAGGCGACCGACGAGCGCGCGCGCGCGCGCGTCCTTCACGATGCTCGAGGGAATCGGTAACCTCTTCGAGCCGCGAGGTTATGATTGTTTGACACTGGATTTACGGGATTCGTCAAAATGACGGTTTTTTTTATTTACGATTATTCGTATCGTGGAGATATATTTATATGTTGTTTATTCGATTTGTATGTCTGCTGCGGCATATGTTACTGTGATACTTGTTAAAAATCATGATAAATTTCTTATTGTATATATAATATATATGTTGTATATATATATATATATTGTAATGTAATTATGTAATTATTATAATATACATACATATATATTGTAATGCAATTATGTAATTATTATAATATAAACACATATATTATATATAATATAAATAACGTAATTATTATATATAATATACATATTGTATATATAATATAATATCAAGCAGCTGTTTTTTATGCTCCGTAAATCCAGTGTTGAAAGAGTAGGCGCAAGGGTCGAGACGTGTTTTCGTTGATTTTCTTGCGGTGTTCGATATCGCCGCGGTTTAATTTTTACGTCGCATCTTCGATCGATGCGATTCTTGGCGCAATTCCCCGGTTGCAAGGAAGAACGTCGCCGTTTGTCACGTGTCACGTGTTTTCATCTTCGAGATATCGTCGCTCGAAGTTCCAAGGGAAGTCCAAAAAATTTGTTCTCGCGACTGTGTTGCCTAGTAATATAATTTGTCCCTAATTCGCGCTCAGATTGCGCACAAAAATTAGAAACGATAAGAAATGTCAAGAATATTTCAATATTTGGAGAGGATTTTCAAGAATATCTCAATTCAATAAGAATTTTCACAAGAATATATTTCAATTCAATATGAATTGTCAAGAATATTTCAATTCTATAAGAATTTTCAAGAATATTTGAATTCAAGAAGAATTGTTAAGAATATGTGTCAATTCAATAAGAATTGTCAAGAATATTTCAATTCGGTAACAATTTTCAAGAATATTTCAATTCGAGAAGAATTTCCAAGAATATTTCAATTCAGTAAGAATATTTCATGTAATGAATATTTCAATTCAATAAGAATTTCCAAGAATATATTTCAATTCAATAAGAATTGTCAAGAATATTTCAATTCGGTAACAATTTTCAAGAATATTTCAATTCGAGAAGAATTTCCAAGAATATTTCAATTCAGTAAGAATATTTCATGTAATGAATATTTCAATTCAATAAGAATTTCCAAGAATATATTTCAATTCAATAAGAATTGTCAAGAATATTTCAATTCGGTAACAATTTTCAAGAATATTTCAATTCGAGAAGAATTTCCAAGAATATTTCAATTCAGTAAGAATATTTCATGTAATGAATATTTCAATTCAATAAGAATTTCCAAGAATATATTTCAATTCAATAAGAATTGTCAAGAATATTTCAATTCGGTAACAATTTTCAAGAATATTTCAATTCGAGAAGAATTTCCAAGAATATTTCAATTCAGTAAGAATATTTCATGT